CAGGGGAGCCAACCTTCTTTTTTTTCACTATTTTCACTTCTTTCATTAGTTTCATTAGTTTCATTAGTTCCAATTCCTGTATTTCCTGCATTTCCTGCATTAGTTCGTTCCATCTTGCTTAACTGAACACAGCCCTGCGCATGGAGTTAAACGGAACAACCTTATGCGCAGTCCATGCGCATCATGCGTGAAACGGAACGCATCCCCAGAGAGAAGACTGAGAGCGGCCATGCCATTGTTGTTTTTTACGACGGTTTCCAGCCGCTACTTTCAGCGCCGGGTTCCACTTTGTGTGGGATTCGCGAACTACGAAACGAGTTCCACTTTCAGGCGCATACGATACAAATGTATTTCGGTTAGAGTCCGTGCTAGATCCACTTTCATTAATGTCGTTAGACGTCACGCACACGGACACGGTTTCATTTGTGTGCGTGCCTCCATCACCGATGCTCTCGGTGCTTGCATATATATAATACTTCTATATTGCTAGTACGGTGCCGACCTGAAGTCATATATATAATACTTCTATATTGCTATTCGCGTATCTTCGCAATGAGAGGCACGAGGCCCGAGAAAGGGAGACGCACGAAGTCCAAATATGGGCATAGATGGTCGAGCGTCATTATGCGTAGGCGCGTCTACTAAGCGAGTGCGAGCGAGACAAAGCATTGGAAAGAACGCGAGAACATATATGTAATACTCCTATATTGCTATTCGCGTATCTTCGCAATGAGAGGCACGAGGCCCGAGAAAGGGAGACGCACAAAGTCCAAATATGGGCATAAATGGTCGAGCGTCATTATGCGCAGGCGCATCTACCAAGTGAGTGCAAGCGAGACACAGCATTGGAAAGAACGCGAGAAAGAGAAATGCCCAAACCTTTGACTATATAAACATGGACTGCTAGTCGGGAGATCTGATCGTAGACGACATTGAACAGCGCACTTTGAGTTTGGGCCAATAACTAATAGGTCGTCACGTGGTCCTTGCCAGTGTCACCAGTATTATATATATACATATATATATATAAGTCGCGTTGCATCAAGCTTCTTGCACAATGGACGGAATAGCCATAGCGATAGAAATAACAAAAGTTTTAAAGAGTTTATATTTAAAAATAAAGGTAGGAACAGCGGAATCTAACATAAAAAAATACACATGTATCAATGCAGATCAGAAAATCGGAATAAGTAATAGCGATAAAATTTCCGACGAGTTGGAATTCTGTGTTAAAAACTGTGTTATTTTTATCGCTATCGCTCTTCCTTCCATTGTGCAAGGGGCTTCAGCCATTATAACTTATAAATTGTCCCAGGATCATCTAGAAATATTATTCTCTTGCTTTCGGTCGATGGATGGTTATAATAATAACCCCAATTGCAAACAGTTTTCAGCCT